AAAAATAATGACTGAGAAAAAAAGCGGATTGTTTGATATAATAATAGAGGTAGAAAGTATAGATAGACGTCAATTTTCAACTTCTGTATCAACTTCTGTAGAACCTTCTGTCGATTAATTATAATGACTGGAAATTGAACAGCAAAACATGTTTTCTCAGTCATTATTTTTCTACACTACCAATCTTACTATATTTCACCGTGTTGTGCTCTTCAGTCATTGTGCTATTCAATCATTATAATTAATCGATAGAAGGTTCTACAGAAGTTAGATACGTCTCATGTTGTAGAGAGCTGTTTGCTCTATTTTCTAATTGGTCATAAAATTTCTTCTATTGTTTGACAAGATTCTTTGTTTAAGCATAGAAAAAGAGGTTCTGAACTTTAGATATGATAACCGTATACTAGAGATGTGCAACCCCACCCGTACCCGGCCCCAAGGTTGGGTACAGGTACGAAGTTGTCCGGTACGGGTCAGATATAGGTAGAGCAGTTACGGGTACGGATTTCGTTTTTTTTAATTTATCCGAAAACCGGAAGGTTTTAGTGGAAAACCACAAAATTTTAGTGAAAAAATACAAGATTTTAGCTGAAATACATACTTGAGAATGTAATGATAATTTGACATCTCCAGTCCAAAAACAAAAGTTTTTAGCTGGAGAACGAAAAGGAGAAAATTTTTAGGCATAAGTCGGGTATGGGTGGAAAAAAAACTTTCAGGTCAGGTACGAAAACGGTGCCCGTGCACATCTCTACCGTATACGTCGAAGCTATACTCATATCACACCTTGAATATCCTTGAATTATTAGAGTTAAAGAAAAACCTGAAAAAACAAAGTGTCATAAAGTTTTGACTGTCACTTTACTGTTTCAAAAAATCTGATAATTCGTATAGTCCTCCTTTTTTATGGTTTGTGTTCGTCAAAGTTTTTTTCAAAAAGTCATGAACTTCCGTTTATGCTGCGATATTTGACTATGTTCGAACTTCAAGCTCGTTACTTCCCCATTATGATACTTCGAAGGTGAAAATTTTTTGTGTTATTTTAAATATGATATAATCGTATCGTGTTACTTTTCTAAGTGTATTTTTCATAAATAGATTTTATAGTTTAAAAAATAACTTTTTTACAGCTTTTGAATTTATATGAAAGAGTGTAACTTTTGCAGAATATACAAAAATCTGTGGTACTTTTTCTGTTTAAAATCCAGATAAGCAGATTTTTTCATACATTTGGAATCAACAATCTGAATATAAAATACGTGATCAGTATTCTTCAAATTAAATAGCGAGTTGTTCAACGTATAACTAAAATTGATGAACATACGATCTATTGTCAATATACATACCTCATTAAAGGAAATAAACGGTTTTTGATTGAAGTCGTCTCATCATTCTCGTTCTAAGAAACAAATTGGATTTACACTAAACAATATCGGGGTGATCAACTAAGATAAAATAATCTGACATCGAATGAACACCAGAAAAACGTTTGTATCATAGTTCATTGGTACGAAAATTCAGCGTTATGCCAATTATCTGAATTGGTTGATTTAACGAAAAGATTCGCTTCATGGACTCAGTAACCTTGATGATTTTGTTGAATATAATCAACAGAAACAAATTTTAAAATAGTGATTTAAAATATGCGACTAGATCTGAGAAATAATTTCTTATCATCAAAGAGCATGCTTACGAACTTATTTATTCTATGATTGTTTTTCAAGTATGCATGATGAAAATGATGCTTTTTTTTGGTTCTATATTTTAAAACCTTTGTCTGAACGATATGTATTTCGTTGTGCTTAAAAATGTAGAACAGAAAAAAAACTTCATTTTCCTCATACGTTATTCAAGAATATCTCTGGTTCAAAGATACTAGAGTTCCTAGTGAATGTACTGAGTATTGAACAGGTTTCTTGCTACCGGTAATGTTACAAGTATCTGAGAAATTTTTGAGTATTTGGGTACCTTAAGATACTTTTTGAGTACAGTCCAAGTACCCCCTGTTGAAGTGTATTTCGATATTCGTCCGGACTATCTACGCATGCAAAAAGATTACTAACTTTGTATGTTAGTTTTCTGACAATGGAGCAGACCGCACTTCCAGAAAATTTTGAAAAAAGTTTCTGCTTACAAAAACATGTCTTAGGATCTTAGCAACACGATGGTGAAAACCGCAGGCGCTATCAGTGTAATTGAGTTATTCCAAAAGTAACCGATGGCCTTGTATTTTGGGATGGATGGTAGTCAAAGACGACACTGGAAACTTTTGGGGCTAGTTACGGATGGAGTCAAAAATTTGCATCTAAAGCAAGATAAAGTTGTATATTGTGTTTTTGAACATAGAAAGATGGTTTTTGAACAAAATCGCAGTTTTCATATTATTTTTCTACATTGCTCATTACTGATCTTGTACAAGTACTATATGTATTTACTAATATTCTCAACGAACAACATTGAAAGTTTATTATAAAAGAATGTAATATCACTGTAAAAACACCGGTTGTGTGCAAAAATAAAATGCTTAAGGAATTTTAAAACATGTGTAGTTTAATAAACTATAAAATCTACCAAAATTAAGAAAACAAGTTATTCGTTTTATGAATATGTGTCCATGTTTTCAATGCATTTCTTCTGTCTTTGTAGCTTTATTTTATCTTTTACATGTTATCTTCTATATCACTGGTACTTATAATCGGTTTATATTCTGAAACATTACAACTGATCACATTATGTTGTTTTTCATTCTCAATTGAATCATGATGGCAAACAATAGAAAACTCTGGACAAAATATATGAACACACAAGTAGACCATAATCAAGATACATGCATTACCTGAAACAATATAGCGAATTAAGATTACAAAGACATTTTCTCAAAAAAGCGTACCCGCTAAATGGTAGGCAAATGACATTGTGAGAAGAGAAATACTTCGATGATCATTCATATCCCATATAAATAAACGATTGGTTGTTTGTGGCCAAATAACAAAAGCTATTTGCAGAAACCATGTACCTTGAGTCATTGCGAATAATGATCGACCGAGAATAAGATAGAAATTATTTGGATCATAACTTTCACCTAGTGCTCCAATCATACTACAAACGATGGTTAATGCTAATAGTTTGTGAACATGGGCATCGACCATCGAACGGGCATGCAAATGAAATACCATCATTAAAGCTTCTATAGCAAATGCGAGAAAACCCATCGTCTGTGGAATCTTTTTCGGTAATGGTACGCCTTTGTGAATTAATATTTCAATCCAAGCGCCCACCCAAAAGCCGAATAACATTGCTGTATGATGTGAATTTTCATCATCAATGAAAGGTTTAGGCGATGTGTGATAACCGGTGACAATTTCAATTGTAAAATGAATTGATGTAATTAATAATTTCATAATGCTTTCAATGGGTAAACTACGTAAATAATGCGAAGGTAAACAAGAACATGGATAGGTTGTTGATCCATGAAATTTATGCCCATTTGGTTTTATTGATCGAATATAACGCAGTGAATTATGTATATGCCACCATAACGCAAATACAATAAAAAACACACCTACAATAAACTAACATAATAATGTAAATTCAAGACTTGAGGAAGCTATTGAAATTACCCGGTGCTATATGTCCTATCCAGCTTCCCATTTTTATCCTAAATAAACATGGTAGTTAGAAATATCTAGACAACAGTTTTTTGCGCTATGAAGCTAAATCCATTAATTGATCGATAAAATCCAACCCACAATCAGATAAAATTCAAAGATAACCAGCGCTTTGTAGAGAAAAGTGATGAACGAGTTGAGAAAAATGTGTCTACTTTCTTATTTCTCTATGTTACGTTAATTACATGTGTACAAATCCACCAGTTTTACTTCAGTTATTTAGAGGATTTTCGAAAAACTTTTAGAATGAAGTGTTGATCGTGATATAAGTTGTAACGATGTTGCTCGAATGGTCGAAATCTGATCCTTTGTTTCATTATCCGTGATATTTTACGTTGTGGTGATGGTTTTTTATCCTCCTGTTCAATTGTCGAAATCAAATACATTAATCGTCAAGACCCATAATTATCGTGAGAGCAGCATGGTTTACTCTTATAGTGTTGGTCCCTTACTTGAAAATATGTATATAAATCTCGGCATCGTCAAGCCATGTAACAACCTTGGACACGTTTCGCCTATGGAATCGCTCGAACTACAGAATTCTATATTGTGATGTACAAACATAGTCTAACTTGTCAGAGAACTAGTACGTACTTAGTACATCCATCGACGCTTAACCTCCTCACGCAGAGAATTGAATAGGTGACAGTAAATGCTCTTTAATTTCACCTCTTTGCCAGTTCACCATACCTGTTAAAGATGATGTACTCACTTTTGAGTAATGGTAATCGTCCTCTTTTAGTTTAGAAGCTATATCTATAAAAGCAATCCTCTATAAATTGAATTTTTTTGAAAATTGACGTCTATCTATATTTTCTACCTCTATTATTATATGAAACAATCCGCTTTTTTCAACAATGTCGGCATGGTAATATGAGAAAATATATATCCAAGTAATTTGTGATTTTTAAGTATGCTCCCGAGTGTGTTTGGTAAATTTCAATCAAGCGAACTATAAACGATACAATCCGTCATTTCTTCAACCTTGAACAACCAAAACAGAGTTATATACGACAAAAACAGATATAGAAGTAGAAAGAAGAAAAAAATTAGAAAAAAAGAGAAGTTATATTAAGTCGTAGAAACCGTGTATTTAATGACTATTTACATTTTATTTCCGAGTCTTATGCACGATATTTTAATATAATACTCAACTCACCTCTTATTTATACAGTAATTCAGTAAATGTTTCCTGATTATAGTAAGTGAGAGAGAAAAAAAATGTCAAGATAAATTGAATTGAGTAGAATTGTAATTTCAGTTAATTTTGACGTATTTGATTTCACATATTAATGAGACTTTCCAGACGTAAACAAAGTTAGTTTTTTTAAGATTCGATCAGATTGATTAGATTTAAATTCGAGCGAATCATCTTCATGAGCTATATTAAAAAAATAAAAGATTCTTAGCGAATGCGAATCCAAATACTGAACAAAATTCGTGAAAAAAATGTCCATTTCCATTTTTAGAAATATTCTAGAAATCCAAAGTTTTTCTGGTATGTTCTCCATATTTTTCGAACCAAAAGTAAGACAAGGTAAACAGAAATACACAACTTAAACCTCCAATTTGACGATGTGTCAAAAGAAAAGATCTCAGTGTTAATGAATCACATCATGCTATATTCTGGTTCACACTCGAGGAACGTTCTTTTTAGAGTACTCATCTTTGATAACATTCCTATCTCAAAGATAATTAGCTATGATGTAGTCATTCCTGAGAAAGTAACATCAATACCCAGCCGTATAGACCAAATTAATTGAGTAAAATGATCAGTTAATGATGAGAGATCAGGTTGATCAAAGCTATAACCTTTATTTCATTGTACCAATGGTCAATAAGAGTCATTCTTCGAAAACAAAAAGATAAGAAAACAGGCTGATAATCAGCGGATTGTAAATAATCAGCATCTATATAGGTCATCGCACCTCATTTGAACTGCTCATCATTCACAAACTTTCAAAAATACTTTCCATTCAACATATTTTGACTGTACTTAAATGTTTTTGTTGCTACCATGTGTTCGACATATTTCTGAGCAATATTACTCAACTCGTCATCTAACTATGTTGGTACTTATTGTTTGGTACGAAAGGACGGTATGTATAATAGTCGATTCATGTTTTTTTTTCACTTTAAAACAGTTCCACAAGTAGCAGAAATGTATTTTTATTTATTTTTTAATTTTACGTACTTTCACATACTACCTCGCATCAATCGGTCGTTCCTCCAAGATCACATATAATATGTAAAAGTTGTTTTACTCATGTTTTTTCGACGACTATGTAAATAAATGGCTGGATTGTCC